GAGAGGTGTTACTTTTCTTGAGCGGATGTGCCAGCCAACCACATAAAGCACCTGCTTTATTGACTTTGGGTAAGAGAAAGAGGAAGCTTTTTGTCTTTTTCACGATTGAAAAGGCCTCTGGTACTTCCTGCCTTTTTTATTTATTTTAATCCAGAGAAATGCTGTGTGTGTGTGTGTGTGTGTGTGTGTACACTGAAAAAGGAGGGATTATTCAGTGTAATATTTATTCAAAATATGTGTTTACGAACTAGTGGTAGAACATAGTAAGAGTAGACATTCAGCTTTAAATATCACTTGAAGGTTTTCTCCTACACTCTTACATTCTTTCGATTCATCTTAATTTTGAATTTTAGAATAAATTCTTATGATGTCTGAGATTCTTAAGATTATTGCTCTTGAATGGGTTTATTTATAGACATTCATATTTATAAAAATGAGCTGAAAATATAAGAATTGAGGCCTCATCTTGATAGTCAGTTTTCAAAGCATTATTAGTGAGCAAAGGTAGGATGCTTTGTTAAACTTCTACCTAGTGGGAACATACCAGCTTCTGTTCAGTTTCTACTCAGTCTTCCTCATTTTCTGGAAAGCTTTTTGTTACTTATGAACCAAGCTGTGATTTGTTTAAATGGTGGGATTGGTTTTAATGCATGAAACCACTTTAACCCTTACGAAAGCTCATTTGAGTCAGTCATTCCAGAACAGTATTACTCATATGATTTTAAAATTTATGTTTCTGCTTTGTCCCTTAAATGCCTGAAGCCATCATACCATTTTTGAATAGTAATTTTTTTAGTTTCAATTTTAAGGCAATTATGAATTGCCTTTTCCATTTTAATTGGCTTTGCCAGTATATTTATTATTCACTTTAAAAAATAAAACAGGTCTAGAAATTGCATTTTGCAAAAAAGCTAAACTTTGAGCACAAGTCTTCCCCTCCACTGGTCTCTGACCAGTTTTAAGTCATGAAACTCAATCTTCTGGGTCTTTCAAGATCTAGGGAAATATTAAAATAACCTATTTGTACTGTTCTTATTCAGGAAAGATTGTTAGGTGGAGGGCAGACTTAGCTAGTGTGGAAAAGCAGCTTCTGTAGGCTTGGTGGTTTTTTGTGCTTGATCTTAAAGGCAAAGGTCACGTCAGCTCTTTATAGAATACAGACATCTGAGTGGTAAAAGAGCCTGTTTTGGCTTCTGCACTCAATAAAGGTTCAGACTACTATTCCTTTTCTTTTCATTCTAGTTCTTCACTCTCTTTCTACTTAAGAGAATCTACATTGACATTCTGGTTTAGTATTTGGAGCAAGATGCCATTTATGACTTATTATATTTTCATATTAAATTTTATTACAAGCAGAGACTTGTGTGTGTGTGTGAAGGGCATATTTCAACTTGTGATTTATTGAGTTCTCTGGGTTGTCTCTCTGACACCCACAAAGGAATCACATTCTGTGCATGCCCTTGCTAAAGTTTTTTCTGATCCTTTCTAAATGTACAATTGTATTGAAGGTTTTAACTTATTATTTGGGAAGCAAGTGCCTCGTTTTTGACTGTTTGGTTTGTGTGTGTTTTTGTTTTGACCTAGATTACCAGAGACTGATGACTGTGGCGGAGACAATTACAGCTCTCATGTTTCCTTTCCAGTGGCAGCATGTCTATGTCCCTATTCTCCCGGCTTCTCTCCTACATTTCTTAGATGCTCCTGTTCCATACCTGATGGGCTTACATTCCAATGGCTTGGATGACCGGTCAAAGCTGGAGCTGCCTCAAGAGGTGAGAGAAATGTGCTGCGGCCTCTGGCCCCAATCTAGGATTTGGGAGAGAAGGGCTTTGGGATATGCGCAGGGTGGTATCGCCAACTTTATTTTCTTTTATTTGAGGACCATTAATAACTTTCCAGGAAAAAAGTAAAAACAACATTTTGCTTAGCTTGTATCATTCCAGCACCACTTGTCATCTTTATCACCTGACATACATACATTGTAGTATCTGTTTATATAGTTATGAATTACCTTTTTCACAGTTTTTCACATACAGTTTTTCAAATACAGTATTTTACATACTTTTAAAAATATTTATTAGAAAATCTTTTTATTATATAAAACTTTAAACATACACAAAAGAATAGCATAATGAATCCCTGTGTTCTCATCGCCCAGCTTCAATAGTTATTATACATGTTAAATTATATTTTATATCTATATCTTCTGCCCCCTTTATTTTAAGGAAATCCCACAAGATATAATTTTATAACTACTCCGGTCATCAGATGTGTATTAATAAATCGAAGGTTTCCTTTTATAGGTCACACTTGATCTGTAAAAGTTGACCTGATCATGGTGATTCTTGTGGTACTGAGTCTGCCTTGAAAGCTTTCCTTGTTTAAGATAGGAAGGCCTTGAGAGAATGCTTTTCCTCTCTTGCTGTGAAGGTAGCCTGCTCCTATTTCCTGTTGTTTCAAATACAAAAAAATTGTTTAAAGATATATATTTATATGTTTATTTCCTACTTCATTCTAAATAGATTTAAAGCATAGTTAGAAATAAGACTTTTTTATTTTCCTAGAATTACCAATAGAACTGGTCTACTTTTTTAGGTCATTTTGTGACTGGTATGAAGCTAGCTAGGAGGAGGGCTTTCCTACTCTGAATTTCTTAGTCATTAGAAAGGCCTAGGAAGACGACTTTGGAATACACACTCACGATGTCAACATGACTGTTTCTTCCCTCTGTTGGAATTTTTTTTTTTTTTGAGAAGGGAGGTTTTTTGAGTGTAACCAAAGCATATGAGTAAGGGGACCTCCAAAGAAGAGAGCATTCTCGTGGAATTGGATCTGAGCATTCATGTTGTTGGGCATGTCTGGGCAACGTGACTGATAAAACTAATGATAATTAGATCACACCTGTAATATTTAAATTATAGTCAAATGCATCTCTTTGCTCTTTTTTCTTTCCTTTGGTTTTAGAATTAAAATGTCTTCTTTGTAGCTTCTTTCATATCCACCCCTTTTGCTCTTTTGATTATGTAGAGCTTTGTGCTATTTTGGATAGAACAAGATTAATTCAGGAAGAAAAGATCTAAATGATGGAGAAAACCATGAGTTGGAGTATTGAGTTTTTATCTGTATTTGTCTACTAATAAAATATACGTGAAGAGTAGGTACCAAGGTTGGAGAATGGGGAACTTTTTTTTTTTTTTGCTCTAAACAAATGCATACTTCATATTGATACATCTTCCTAGTAAACCTAATTATAATTTTGTAAAGTCAAAATGAGAATTACAACAAAAAATGCTTGAAGGTGCAAAGCCAAAAAGGCATGCTACATATAATCTTATAAATAGGTCATTAGGCAAGAAGCCAGATTTTTCAGTTTTATTCATCTTTGATATTAGCTTCCTGTATACTTGGGGCAAGTTTTGTTCACTGTAGGATCTCTCAGCATTGTTCTTTGTGTGCTTCATGTATGTGGGTATATGGAGAGGCTGCTAGGAGATGAACAATTTTTTTAGTGGGATTATTTGAGAAACTGTGGGTTGTTTGAGAAAGTTCAAAGTTTACTCTGTTCTTAAATATTAGGGCTTCCACTCTTGCAGTACTCCCCATCATTGCCACATCCTTTGCCTCTTTCTGTGGTTTGTTTGGGAAGGAGTGATGACAATGGGACTATAGAATACCTTTCTATATTAAATAAGCAGTTGTAGGATTTCAGAGTCTCACTTCATTCAGACTGTCCCTCTCAAGGTCACATGTCGGTGGGGGCATTTACATAGCTGGATATTTTTCACATTGATATTTTAGCAGATAATCTCTGAGATATCTGAGTCTGTGTCATCTCCTTGGGAAACATTAGACTAAGGAGAAAAGAATTGACTTTCTCAAGGAGTAAAGCACCATGAAAGGTACACGTAATGAATGGAGGGTGATAATATCTCTGAAAGACAACATTGGGATGTCTCAGAAATGATACATGTTTGTTTATATTTTAAAAAATCCTACAGTGCACAAAAGCATAAAGAATAAAGTAAAAGTTACTTCAAATTTTACCATACAGAGATAGCTACTTTCCACATTTTGGTGGACATCCGGTGGCATCTTTATGCTGCTAGAAGGAAGCTTTGAGTCAGGACTGGGGGAATTCACCTGGGCCTCTCCAAGGGGGCATTATCAGGGTAGTGGGGTAGGGCAAGCTTGATTTATAAAAGGGACTTTATCCAGAAGTACATTCCCTGACCCCCTCTACATCAGAATCCATCAGTTGCTGCCTTATCTTTGGCATCAGAAGTCTGTGAAAAGCTCTTTGTTTTTTACACCAACACATGAGCTCAGCTGGCCCCCGGCAAGTGAGAGTGCTGAGCTGCCTTTGTGAAGCATCCTTTGTCCTGTGCTTCTCTTTTGGGTTTCATTGTCTGGATCCAGGAAGGAGGCAGGTCGTCCATAGCTGTGTTAGGAGAAGCAAGTAGAAGATAGAAGAGTAAAGAAGGGGGTGTTAACGTCGTTCTCTCTTGGGTCCTTCTTTCTTTTCTACCTTTTTCCCTCCTTTCTCAGGATCTTTCTTCAATATCTTTTCCCCAGTAATCTGTGTGTTGGGCTCCCCTTCAGTGAATAATTTGGAGATAGACTAGGGGGTGAGGCTAGCTGTGTTTTGATGTTAAGAATTTAGGGCTTGGAAAGGGCATTGTGACTTCCCGCAGGAAGAGACTTGGGAGACTTTGTAATTGTGGGAATCCATATGGTCCCTACCTCAGAGCAGCTAAGTGTTCCCATGACCTTTCCCAGCAAGGCAGGAGGTTAACTGAGGAAAACGGATCACTTGAATTTAGTGTCTCTTCCAGGCTTCTACTTGTCTCAAGCTGTTTTGCAGGAGTTGGCCTCTTCTCAGCTGAGGAAAGGGGTGCACGAAGAGTTTGGGGTGGGCTTGCAAGTTGCTTCTGTTTGCTAGAGTCTTGGCAGAAAACAGAATGAGACTATTGTATGAGCCTAGTAATTGAATGGCCTCCCTTTTCACTTTGCCTTCTTATCCCTACCTTCTTTAGCCCAACTCACCACTAGAATGGCAGGTGATGTCCGCTCAGAGGCTCCTATCTTCATCTAGCCCATCTCTGAAGTGTACCTGAGCTGCTTTCTCTCTTCTAGCAACCTCTGACCAGGAGTATGTCTATAATACGTGAATAGCATTTGGAGTTCGTAAAATTCTTTACAGACGTTTAATATTTGGCTCACAGCAGTGGGAGAAAAGCCAATCAAGCATTGTTGAGTAGATATAGTTATTTTTAGCTGTTTCTGTGTTTCCTTTTGCACAAATTGCTTTTTTCCTCTAAAGACAGGAGAACCAATGGGGTAAATGTGTGCCTCTGGTGGGTCACAGTGCGCTTTGTTATGAGGCAGGCAGGTGATCTTCATGGCTAGATGATTTAATTCTGTCTTTATTTTAATGACTTGATCTGAAAATATAATTTAAAAATTTTAAAGGAATATACAAAAAGTAACCTATTTTTAGGTGTTAAACATTTATTGGTCCTTTTAACTTACGTAGGCAAGACAAAGTTGTTATCTAGTGAGGAATTCTAGAAAGAGAAATTTATAAAGGGATTCTTATTCTAATCTTTGCATTGTGGATATGAGAAAGTTCTCTTTTTTACTTCTGAGTTGGTAGGTGGAGTAATTTATGCACTGAGCAAAAATGGATCAGCATTTTGTTATACAATAGAGGCACCATGCCAAAAAAGGGACTACTTAATAATAGAGCTGGAAAAATGTCCATAGGGGAAAATAGTAAAAAAGATCCCTACCTCATGCCATAACAAAATAAACTTGAGGTGGATAAGAAATTAAATGTCAAAAGTAAAGGATAAATTTTCTAGAAAATATTAAAAATATCTTCTGACCTCTGGGTAGGGACTTTGTCAACAAGATACAGAAAACACTTACCATAAAATAAAAGATTAGTAAATTAGATTTTTTTAAATTAAGAAAAGGACATCTTAAAATGCAAAGATAAGATAAAAATTAGGAGAGATATATGTAACACACATAACCTGCAAGAGCATCAGGAGTTGTTAAAGAACTCTTGCAAATCAGTAAGATGATAAACAACTTAATAGAAAAATGGGCTAAAGACATGAAAGGTATTGCACAAAATGTACACATTGCTTTACTTCACTAGCAATCAGAGAAGTATAAATTAAATGCACCCATTTTACTGGCAAAATTAAGAGATGATGATACCAATAATAGCATCTTTTTATTGTGGAATTTTCCTATCCAGTAATACTGTATATATACATCCATTTATTGACATTTAATATTCCACAGTGATAATAACAATGTTAATTAACATTTATTATGTACTATAGGCCTGGCACTGTGCTAAATCTTTGACAGTTATTGTCTCATAATCCTCAAAACAGACCTATGACATAGGTAATATTATTATCCCTATGTTATGTGAACAAAACTGACAAACTCCGAATAATGTACTGTTGTGAAGGAAATGACAGTTGTCTTGGCTAGAAGAGGTTTATGGTTATAAGATAAGTATATATTTTAAAAAGATATTTATTTTTAATTTATAGCTGCAAGGAAATTCCAACAGGGACAGAAACTATAAAATATTTAAGATAAATCGAACAAGAAATGTATAAGACTACTAAGGAGAGGAGTAGAAGGTTAAGAGCTTGAGGGTATGACTGAAGTTAGACTGGCTGAGTTCAAATGTCAGGTCTATTAACTAGCTTTGTGACTTTGGACAAGTTACTTAATTCCTCTGTGTCAGTTTTGTGTGTAAAATAAGGATAGAAAGATATTGCCAAATTATTCTTTGTTAATTCAGATTACCTACTTACCTGCAGTCTATGAGAGTATTGTCTCTCTATCTGGAAGCAATCTTAAAGCCAGATTGAGGCACAGAAATCATTAAGTCTAGCCATCAAATCTTACAAATCAAGACTCAGAAAGGGATATTGGTACACTTAGAATCATACAGGGAGATAGTGACAGAGTCAGGTCTGGAATCTAGACTTTCTGACTGACTTCTCGTGTTCCTTTTACTGCTGTAAGAATTCATGAATTTGACAAACATTTTATGAACATTTATTATATGTGAGATGTTCATGCTAGATGCTAAACATCTATGTCATCACATAATCCTTACCTCTCTCTAAGATAAGTGTTTTTATTTTTTAATATCTATTTTATAGCCGAGAAAACAGAATCAGAGAGGTTAAGTTTAAGTAACTTACCCAAGATCATACAACTAGAAAGTGGCAGGGGAAGAATGGAACACAGGTCTACCTCCTTCCTGAGCCCCATCTTTTTTATCTTATATGTGCCCATTTCAGATGTTTTTCCTTTCTTGTGTTGTTCATTATCCTTTCTAAAGCGTCTTCCTTAATTCTCTAGAGTTGTTCACACTTATCCTGTTTTGACTGCCAGGCAAACCTCTGTTTTGTGGACATTGACAACCACTTCATTGAGCTTCCAGAGGACTTGCCTCAGTTTCCCAACAAATTGGAGTTTGTCCAGGAAGTCTCTGAGATTCTCATGGCCTTTGGCATTCCGCCTGAAGGGAACCTTCATTGCAGCGAGAGTGCTTCCAAACTGAAGAGGCTCCGGGCCTCTGAGCTTGTCTCTGACAAGAGGAATGGTAACATTGCAGGCTCCCCTTTGCATTCCTATGAGCTCCTCAAGGAGAATGAAACGATCGCCCGGCTGCAAGCCTTGGTCAAGCGGACTGGTGTGAGCCTGGAAAAGGTAAGATGTTGTATATGAGTCTCTGAGTTTTGGTCTGTGCTAGGGTGCTGTCCTGGTAAAATGAAGTGTGGGATGAGAAGGCACTCAGTTCAGGACAAGGCATATTTGTGAGCAGGGAAAGAACACACTTTTATGGGAGACTGGATTCAGCTCCGGCAAACATTATCCTAGTAAATGATACTTGAATCTAAATCTGGGATTAAATCTGGGTAGTTTCTCACTTGGGCATCATGGAGAGCCTGTTCTCATTCTTTGTGAACACTATAGCAGAGTAACTTGAAGGGATGATGTTGGTAATCTGTGTTCAGACCTCTCTCAGATCCATTGCCCTGTGAGTTTCTTAGCAACCTAAAAGCATACAGAGCAGGTATTATTAACTCTGTTTTTATAGTTCAAAGAACTGAGGTTTAGAGAGCCTGAGTGTTTTGACTAACATTAAATGTCCTGTAAGAGGCCAGAACCTGGTCCTCTTGAATTCTAGTCCTGTGTTCTTTCCAGGAATATACTTAGCTTTCTATTTCCTGACTGACGGACTGTCAGTTTTTGGCAGTTTTCTACACATCTCTTCACCCTCTCCCATTCTCACTGTTAGTTTACTTTTGCAAATTACATATAAGCAAAATGGGCCAATTAATAATTTTGTTGGGCTGTTTTTTAGTGAAGTGTGAAACATTTCATTTTCTTGCTTTAGTTAGTAGAGCAGATTTAAAAAAAAAAATATGGCTAGTGATAGAGGAACAAAGTCATATTTAGAGAGATTAAAAAGGTTAAATAAGACACAGTAAGGGGATATTCTTAGGGAGAAAGATAGGAAAAGTGATATGGGGGAGAAAATGAAAGAGATGAAGGGAGAGCCAGAGTCTGACCTTGTTGCTTTGCATTATCATTTTCTCATTGACTTCCAGATTCCCACCTTACCCTGACCCTTGAGATAAGTAGCACCTTTTCCTCTATTGCTGACTCTCTCTCTGCTTATAATGATCACTTTCATTGAGTTGTTGGATACTGGCAAATAGAACATCACTTTCATTGGGTTGCCATGTACCTGCAAATGGAACATCTCATTTACTACTTCTTCATGTCAGAATCCCTTTCTTTTTTCCTTCCCATTATTTTCTCTTTTGTTGATTTTCTCCATTTTCTGTGAAGTAAATGACCACTGGAGAAAAAACAGATGAGTTGCATTTTTTGGGATAATAGGAAAAGCTTGTGTGTTCTCAACCGTTGTTTCTTTTTTGTAGCTGGAAGTGCGAGAAGACCCCAGCAGCAATAAGGATTTGAAAGTTCAGTGTGATGAAGAAGAACTCAGGATTTACCAGCTAAACATTCAAATCCGGGAAGTTTTTGCAAATCGTTTCACTCAGATGTTTGCAGATTATGAGGTGTTTGTCATTCAACCCAGCCAGGATAAGGAGTCCTGGTTTACCAACAGGGAACAAATGCAAAACTTTGACAAAGTGAGTATAATCTGCTGAGAAGTTGGTGAAGCTTGAAGATTTAGCTGAAGATGAGTTTTTCTTTCACAGTACAGTTGACCCTTGAACAACATGGGGGTTAGGGGCTGACCCCTTCCCCCAGTTAAAAATTTGTGTATAACTTCTGACTCCCCCAAACTTCAGTTGTCCCTTGGTATCCATGAGGGATTGGTTTTGGGACCCCCACAGATACAAAAATCTTCAGATGCTCAAGTCTCACATATAAAATGGCATAGAACAATGCATACTGTTGGTCCTCTGCATCCACAGACCCAACCGCACATCAAAAGTACTATTTTCAATCTGTGGTTGGTTGAACCTACAAGATGCAGAACTAGGGATACAGAGAGCCAATTATATATTTATTGAAAAAAATATGCATATAAGTGGACCTGTGTAGTTCAAAGCCATGTTGTTCAAGAGTCAGTTGTATTATATGCTGGAAACAAGTTCATGGTCCTTCTGATGTTGATAAAATATAAGGTCTTGTTGCTTTAGCACAGAGTGCTGATTCTTACTATCAGGTGATTTACTTTCAGTTAAGGAGCTCTTTTATGCAAAGATGCACACCCATGCAGGTTGAACATCAGGATTCTGGGAAGATTGGTTGCCACAGTAGTTTACCTGAGTAAGTTTGGGCTAGTGTGTCAGAGTTTCAGGATATCTGAAATTATGAGTGTTGCAAGATTTTGCTGTTTGCTTTTCATAAAGACTTAGGAAGCTTCAGAGAAGAGTTAACCTGTTGGACCCTTTGGGTGCATTGCCTTCACTGAGATACCCTTTTTTCTTTTCCCTCTTCCCTGTGGATGACTGTCTGTTTTCTTTTGATCCCACCAGGCATCTTTTCTATCAGATCAGCCTGAACCCTACCTGCCCTTCCTCTCAAGATTCCTGGAGACACAGATGTTTGCATCTTTCATTGACAATAAAATCATGTGTCATGATGATGATGATAAAGACCCTGTGCTTCGAGTATTTGATGCCCGAGTAGACAAGATCAGGCTGTTGAATGTTCGGACGCCTACTCTTCGCACATCCATGTACCAGAAGTGTACCACTGTGGATGAAGCAGGTGAGGCCTCTTTGTTGCTATACTTGCTAGCTTCTTGGATTATGTCATTAATGTGTCCCTGTTCCTAAATATGCCAGCTTCTTTCCCTGTTTTTGCTTTTGCATAAGTCATTCCCATAGCCTGAAATGATCTTTCCTGCCTTTTTTGCCTGGTTTACTTAACTTCTTCTCATCCTTTAATACTATGTCCGTTATGAATGGGTCCTGCTGTAGTTAATAGAGAATCTAGTCAGCAGTGGGTTAGACAGATGTGGGTGTTATTTTTCTCAGAATAGCAAGAAGTGCAGAATTGGTAGTTGGCTGGCGTTGGCTCAGCTGCTCAACAGTGTAATCAGGAACCGAGGTTCTCTCTTTTTAGTCAGCTATCCTTAGCATATTGACTTTTACATTCATGCTTTTTGCCTCACTATTACGGGAAGCTTTTTATGTTCACATTCAGGGCAAGAAGAGGGGAGGTTGTTACCAGCTATATTTTCCCTCTTGTATCAGAAAGCAAAAGCTTTCCCCAAAATTACCAACAACTTCTGTTGTCTCATAGGCCAGAACCATGTTTTGTGACCATCCGTAAGTGCAAGGGAGGCTGTGAAAGTGAGTATTGAACTGGGAGTAATGTTACCCTGAACAGTATCGGGGTTCTATTAGAAGAAAAAAGGGGCAAATGAGTTACAAGTAAGCAATTGACATTTTTGCCACAAAAACTTAGCTGATATGTCTCCTCTGAAGAGACTTTCTGGTGCTCTCAGGCTGAATGGGTAGATTCCTTTTTTGTGTTCCTGTGGTGCTTTGTTCTTACCTCCTCTCTGTAATCTCTATTCTTTTGTGCTGTCATTAACAGAAAACAGTCTACCCATTTTCTTACCCCAATCTTCTAGCATTGTGCTTAGCACATATAGATAATTAAAATTGTACTACATGCATGAATAAGCCTTTTTGTTCAGAGGCCTCATCTAGATCAGTTTAGCTAGAGAATAGTCTCAGTTTGAGATGTCAGAATTAAGTAGTGTGTTCACTTCCTCGTGCAATACTCAGTGTCTTTGTAGCCTTTTTGTATATATTACTCATTCATTTACCACATATTATAAATATCTACTATATGCTTAACATATGGTAAGTGCTCAACAAATATTTACTGAATGAATGAACATGCCAGATGTCTTTCTAGGTTTTGAAGATACAACTGGTGAAAATTTGAACAAAGTCCGCCTTCGTCAACAACATTCTCTAGCCTTCTGTCTTTACCTTTCAGCTCTTGTTCTAGGCCTTTCATTAAGAGGACAGTCCTCTTGGCTAATGAGGACATGTTGCTCATGCAAGTGGACTGCTCTGACATAGTCATCCTTGCTTCTTAGAACACATCAGTCTTCAAATTCCTGAACCCTGCCTAAAGTTTTGGTCTTGGGAAGCTTGATGGAAATTTTTACAAGGCTATATGTAGGTTTAAAGAAACATCTCCCAAGCCATCAGTTTAAACCAAGACTTCCCAATCTTTTCATTTTGTGCTATACTTGAAAAGGACAACAATATTTATATATGGCTCACTGGAATAAAAGGAGGAGTCTGCTTATAGTTAGAGGCTATAAAGCAAGAAGCTCTCGTCACTTGAGGCCTTTCCCATTTGCCACAAGGGTTGAGGAAATCAGTTCTCAGCCCATCTGTAATCCATTTGTTGAACACCAAACACCATAGCATACTGATCTGAATTACTCTAGTCTCAGTTGTGGCCAGGATATGTGTTCTCATGGGCCTGTTAGAATGTGGATTCGGGATATGGAAGGAGGGTTAACTAACCCTCATTTGTATAACTCATTTCAGAAAAATAGGTCTCAGAGAGACCTTACAGGCAACTCTATTCTCTGCTCCCAGTAATAACGGGAATATCTTAACCATTGGTATATCCCTTAGGTATGCCCCAGAGAGATACATTCCAGTAATGCTATAGCAGAGTTCTTGCCACTGGCCTCAGATCTTTAGCCTGGAGGAGTAGTTCAGCCACCTCATCCCTTCCCACATGGACACCTCAGCTTCTTCAACCAGTCTGGTTGGAAAATGGTGAAAAAAATAACTAATGAGGAATTTTTTGAGACCCTTTAAAAAGTTACATTTGAAAGGGATCCTGGTGGCAGTCAGTTCTACTCACTCACTAATTATAAAGATATTCCTTTGGTTCACCACATATCCTCAGGGCCTAGGATAGTACCTGGTACATTTTAGACATTGAATAAGTTCTGTTGAATAAGTAAGGGTGGGAGGAAGTGAGGGAGGCCCAAAGAGAGAAGGTGACTTGACCTAGGATAACAGCAGGGCCCAACAGTTGAGATGTTTTTTCATGACTCTAGAAAATACCAGGAAAGTTACCAGCCTTTTTGTTCTTACTCCGTAAAATTTTTGAGGTATAATTGACATACAATAAACTGCACATATTTAAAGTTTTGGGGTGTGTGCGTGTGTGTGTGTGTGTGTGTGTGTGTGTTTGTGTGTGTATACATACACATTTATATCAAGAACTGACAAACATACCCATCACCCTCGAAAGTTTCCCTTTTGTAATACATTCATCCCATCTCCTCCCTACTCTCTCCAAATCCTGAGGGCAACCACTGCTATGATTTCTGTTACTATAGAGTTTTCATTTTCTAGAATTTTATATAAATGAAATCATACACTATGTACTCTTTTTTTTTTAAGTATGGCTCGTTTTACTCAGCATAATTATTTTGAGATTCATTCATGTTCTTTTTATTGCTATAGTATTTCACTGTATTGGTATTACTACGATTTGTTTATTTACCTTTTGGTTGTCATTTGGGATATGTACATTTGTGCACATGTTTGTTTGTTTGTTTCTCTGGATAAATACTTAGGAGCAGAATGACTGGATCATATGATACTTGTATGTTGAGTTTTTAAAGAAACTGCTAAATTGTCTTTCAAAGTGGTTGAACTTTTTGCATTCCCACTAGCAGTATATGAGAGTTAATAGTTCTGCCACACTGTTACTAATATTTAATATGGTCAGTCTTTTCATTTGTAGCTATTGTAGTAGATTTGTAGTGGATTCTCATTGTGGTTTTGATTTGAGTGTTCCTGATGACTAACGAGTTGCATATTTTTTCATCTGCTTGTTTGCCATCCATTTATCTTCTCTGGCAAAGTGCCTGTTTAAATCTTATGCCCAGTTTTTACTGAGTTGTTTTCTTATTATTAAGTTTTAAAAGTTTATATTCTCGATACAAGCCCTTTATAAAATACATGATTTGCAAATATTTCCACCCCTCTGTGGCTTGTCTTTTTGTCTTCTTAATAGTGGTTTTTAAAACATTGAATGTATTGGGGTGACATTAGTTAATAAAACGATATAGGTTTCAAGTGTACAGTTCGATAATACATCATCTGTATATGACATTGTGTGTTCACCACCTAAAGTCAAATCTTCTTTTGTCACCATGTATTTGACACCCTTTATCCTTATTTTCCTCCACCCCTCCTTTCTTTCCATCTGGTAATCACTAAGCCCTTGTTTGTGTCTCTGAGGTTTTGTTCGTTTATCTTGTTCATTTCTTGCTTTCAGTTTTATATCTCACATATGAGTGAAGTGATATGGTTTTCTACTTTTTCTGACTTATTTCGCTTAGCATGATTATCTCAAGATCCATCCATGTTATCGCAAATGGCAGTATTTTATCTTAAGGCTGAATAATATTTCATTGTGTATATGTACCACATCTTCTTTATCCAATCATCTATCAAAGGACTCTTCGGTTGTTTCCATGTCTTGCCCACTGTGAATAATGCTGCAGTTGCAGGATACAAAATCAATGTACAAAAATCCGTTGTGTTCCTATAATACTAACAATGAAATTTCAGAAAAAGAAATGAAAAAAACAGTTTCTTTTGCAATTGCAACAAAAAGAATAAAATACCTAGGAATAAACTTAACAAAAGATGCGAAGGACCTATATACACTGAAAACCACAAGACATTATTAAAAGAAATTGAAGAAGACACAAAGAAATGGAAGGATATTCTATGTTCATGGATTGGAAGAATCAACATAGTTAAAATGGCCATATTACCCAATATATAGATTTAATGCAATCTCAATAAAAATTCCAATAGAACAAAAAAAAATCAGATTTATATGGCAGTATAAAAGATCCCTAAGGACCAAAGCAATCCTAGGAAATAAGAACAAGGCCAGAGGTAGCACACTACCTGACTTCAAATTATACTACAAAGCGACAGTAATCAAAACAGCATGGTATTGGCAGAAAAACAGACATACAGACCAATGGAATAGAATTGAGAGTCCAGAAATAAACCCACATATATATAGGCAAATAATTTTCAACAAAGGAGACAAAAATATGCAATAGAGGAAAGAAAGCCTCTTCAATAAATGGTTCTGGGAAAATTAGAAAGCCACATGCAGAGGAATGAAACTAGACTGCTGTCTGTCACCTACATCAAAATTAAGTCAGCATGGATCAAAGACCTAAATATAAGACCTGAAAGAAAAATTGCATAGAAGAAAACAGGTACTAAATGCATGGACCTTGTTTTTAGAGAAGATTTTATGAATTTGACCTCAAAGGCAAGGGAAGTAAAAGCAAAAATAAATGAATAGGAGTATATCAAACTAAAAGCTTCTGCGCAGCAAAAGAAACTGTCAACAAAACAAAGAGGCAGCCATCTGATTGGGAGAAGATATTTGCAAACAATGCCTCCGATAATGAGCTAATATCCAAAATATATAAAGAACTCATACAGCTTAACAACAACAACAAAAAAAAAACCAATCCAGTTAAAAAATGGGCAGAAGACCTGAACGGTCACTTCTCCCAAGAAGACATACAAATGGCCAACAAACATGTGAAAAGATGCTCACCTTCACTAGCTATTAGGGAAATACAAATCAAAACCACAGTGAGGTACCACCTCACACCTGTAAGAATGGCTATCGACAAGACAATATCTGTAGAATCTGTAGCAATGTCATTTCTTTCATTCCTGATATTGCTAATTTGTGTCTTCCTTTTATCCTGATCAGTCTGGCTAGAAATTTATTTTACTAATCTTCTAAAAGAACCATTTTTTTCAGGTTTTAAAATTTTATTTGCATATTTAAAAAATTGTGCATTTTAATAATTAAAATCATTTGAACAACAAAACAATGGGACCCTGATTAAACTGTATTTTACAGCCTGCAGGACACCAACTTGATTTTTACTTTAGCTTTCACTGTCATCCCATCCAGCTTCTGCCTTCACCAACATGCAAGTTCTTTTCCTTCCCTGCCAGCCAGTCAGGCAGATAGATGGGAAAGGCAGGTGTGGCCTTCATTGTCAGTAGTTCTTTGATGTGAAAAGGGGCAGCACAGTCATTTGAACTTGATCCAACCTCTTTGCATTTTACCAAAGTAAACAGCTAAAAAGTAAAATAAGGCAGTGCTTGTGGAATGTGTGGTGCATATTGGTGATGCCTGCCTTATTACAATTCACCTCCTTGCTTCTGTTCAGTTGTTCCTTTTGAAGGCAGTGGATTTTTCTTTTGCATTTCTGTCTTCTTCGGTTTTGACTTATTGAATTTCTCAATCTTAGCCATATCGGGTTCGTCAGACATGGTTGCAGAGGAAGCAGAGTAGGTGCATGAACCAGTGAGTCCTGTCTGCTCAGTGGCCGTCACTAAGTGCCCTGAAAGAACCAGTTTTTAGATTTATTAATTTCTTGTTTATTTCATTGGTTTCACTTTGGCCTTTATTATTTCCTTTCTTGTACTTTGAACTTAATTTGCACTTCTTTTTCTAGTTTCTTAAAGTGGAAGCTGAGGTCATTAGTTTGAGACCTTTCTTCTTTTCCAAGAGAGGAGTTTAGTGCCATAAATCTCCTTTTAAGTAATATTTTAATTATATACCACATATTTAGATAATTTTATTTAGTTCTTCTCATTTTTATTCAGTTCTTATTTCCCTCCTGATTTCTTTTTTGATGCATGAGTTATTTAGAAGTGTGTTATTTAGTTTTAAGATGTTATTATTGATTATTGTGGTCAGAGGATATACTTTGTATACTTTAAATTATTTTAAAATTTTTGAGACTTATTTTATGGTGGAGAATATGGTATATTTTAACAAATATTTGTTGTTGTTCTCATCTAGAGAAAGCAATTGAGCTACGTCTGGCAAAAATTGACCACACTGCGGTTCATCCCCATTTACTTGACATGAAGATTGGACAGGGGAAGTATGAGCCAGGCTTCTTCCCAAAGCTGCAGTCTGATGTGCTTTCCATTGGGCCAGCCAGCAACAAGTGAGTCAGCCCCAGAGATTCTCTGATCTAGCTCTTTAATCATAGATCTCTAATCATCCAGTATCTATACCTGCGCTGATAGAAGACCTCTGAATTTTTAAAGCGAATATGGAGAAGACCCAACTATCTAGGTCATTCACTTGTTTGAACAAGAAAACAGGTGACAAAATATCATCAGCTCCTGTCTCCACTGTGCAAGTTGATATAGCTCCACATGCCTATGAGCTTCAAAAAGCCAAGCTGCAGATGGGTTGAAATTATCTCATGACTGACTTTCATACAGACACCTAGCATTATGTCTTCAGTAAGTAGTGGTTGAAATAATTGGTGTCTGAGCCGAAAGTAGATAACTCAGCAGGATTGCTATTCTTTAGTTATTTTTGGAGATGAGTGTATCAAAGCCCAGACAGAGTTGATTGAGTATAGTTTTGGATCTGCATGTGTAGTTTTTGTAGATGTTTCAAGAGAGATATGACTTTATTCTCTTGGGAGTTATTTTTCTAGATCAGTTACTGACCTTTAAGCTAATTTTCCTCAAGTTCTCTGAGCTATCTCTGGTGATTTTGGTGGTTTCACAGCATTGGTCCCTAGACATTCAAGTTTTCTCTTGTCATTTGACCTTACTGTCCTGGTGGGATGTTCTTAATTGCTTGTTTTTATTGTGTCAGGTGGACAAAAAGGAATGCCCCTGCCCAGTGGAGGCGGAAAGATCGGCAGAAGCAGCACACTGAACATCTGCGTTTAGACAATGACCAGAGAGAGGTAAGACACCTTAAGAATGACAATGCTACATTCTCCTTTTCTTTCCTATTCCCTTGGCTTCTGGTCTTATTCAGATGTCCTAGCAATGACCTCATTCATGTCTGAATGTGGAGCAGAGGTACAGTGACCACTGAAATAAGAAGGTAATTTGAGATAGAAGAATGAAGCAGACAACTCCATGGATTATAGCAGGATTTATTGTTGGGTGGTTACTTATAGGGTGAAGTCAGAGCAGAAGTCGAAGATCATCTGCGCAGACTGTTGAGGTGGCCTTCACTCCACCTTCAGACACCTTTCCCAGTAAAGAAGAGTTAATAATAGGATTAGTTCCTGATGCCTGTTACCAGTCCTAAGTTGTGACAAATCTAGGATGTATGATGTTCTTCAGGTGACAGCTAGCCACCAGCCATGTAGTTCCTCTATGAGCCAGGCTCTCTTTGCAACTCCATTCAGGAATGATGTGAGAGTTTACAAGAGAGCCTTTCGCTGTCCTTTCAGTACTCCCTCATGCATCATACTCACTCCCTGGAGAGTGTGACAGGAACCACAGAAGATAAGAGTCTGAAACTTTGGAATAAATTCTTTTAAAATTTGTGAGACTTTTCTTTGTGTGTGGTATGCTAGCAAAGGAGTAATTCTTTTAGAGTGAGAAGAGATGCCGAACTTGGGTTAATGCTGTCAATCTCTGAACCTGGGGAGGGGGTTACTTTTTCCTATTTTTTGTGTATCTTAATTTAAAACAGATCATCTTGACTTTTTTTTTTCTTAGAGGAACAAAGGAGAGGAATGTTGTTATCAGGTACCTAGGGATTGAGGATTCTTGAATTGACCTTTTGAGACCTCATTGCTTGTAAGCTGAGTTTCTCAGCTCTAGTATAACTTGTTCCCAGTAAAGTTTCTAGTTATAAACCTAAAGTTGGAGACCCTGCCTCACTTAGTTGCAGAAAAGTTATGAAAATGGTGTTTAACCTTCAGCAACCTATTCAGGAACTTATTTTTTAGAAAAGACCCTGAAATTTGAATTTTATACATATAAAACTTAATAAAGCATGTTGTTTTCATATGTGTCCGGCACCTCAGTGAATGGGAAAATAAATAACATATATTTGCCTCTGCTATTTTGAAAGGAATAAATTAAAATTATAAGATATGTTATGAATTTTTAACTGCTGATTTATAGGATACAGTTGTGCTTAGAGTTTTTGTGAGGGTGGCTTAAGGGGTGTTAGGTATTGATGTTACTTAAAAATTTCCCCTTGGTCTTCCGTGTCACCTCCATATTACTTCTTTCAGTAGTGTTTATTGAGCATACTTTCTTGGTCAAAATCACTATATTAAGCACTTTGAAATATAACAATGACAAGAAAGTAGCCTTGTCCTCAGAGAATACCATTTTTTTAAGGGAGCAAAGTCAGGTACACAAAAAAACTTTAGTAGAAGAGTCTTTTTAAAGGACCATGTGAGAGGCAAGGCGATGTTTGATCACTGATTAGAGAAAGCAGAGGTCAGTTACACCTGGGGTAATCATCAAATAAGACTGTTTAGTGGAGTCAGAATCTGTTTAAGCCTTGGAGGATGATGATAGGATTGTTAGAGATAAAGAAGAGCATTTTAAGTAGAGGAAATGCAGGATCAAAAATTTGGTGATTATTGTGTAATAGAGGCTGTGGGCAGAATATTTTGGAGGAAGGTTGTACTAGAGGTAGCTAGCAAGTTAGGCAGATAGCAGTAGTCCAGGAGATAGCAGTTGAAACCTAACCTTGAGGGTTGGTGGTAGGGGCAGATTAAGGGGCCAGAAGATAGAAGAGACAGAAACTACTGGAATAAATATGGTAAATATGGGGGAAGAGGCAGTTTGAGGTAAAAGTGTTGGCTGTGAAGCTAGGATACTGAGAGGATGTCAGTATGCAGTTTACTGCATTTATGCGGGTTCTATATGAAAACAAACAGCATATGGAGAATCACTAGCACATTGTAGAAAGGTAGAAAATACAGTTGTTTTGAGTGTGCAATCTTATTTTTCAGGCTCTAATTTTAGCAAGGTTATACTTTATAATGACAAGGGTAGATATCTTTGATATGGACAGAGGAGTTAAATTCCTCCTAGCTTAGTGGGAAAATGATTTTCTTAATAGTACGCTGAGATTTGGTTGGATTTGCACACTGAGTTATATACATGGTTTGGCCGTGTGTGTGTGTGTGTGTGTGCGCGTGCGTGTATGTGTTACCGCTTGTATCATTAAAGCAAAGGTAATTACAGTACTGATTGAGTGCTTACATCTGAGAAAACAATTCATCATATTATCTCAGTTTTTCCCTTTGTTACAGAGCTACATTTTAAACTTTCTGCCCTCAACTTTATTTGAACCTAGGAAAGCAGTAAGAAAGTACCAGGTGTTAGTGCCCTCTTCAGGCACCCATCAGTACATCGCCTGAAGTTTGTGTGCATGGGTACAAAGAGTTTGATTTTTCTGTTGTTATAGAAGTACATCCAGGAAGCCAGGAATATGGGCAGCACCATCCGCCAGCCCAAACTGTCCAACCTCTCCCCATCAGTG